CAGAGAAGGGATGGGACAGGGGCCGGGGCAAGGGTGGTTGGGTTTGTGTGATTAGACAGTTGGCAACCCTAGCTGTCAGGTAGGGGGCCGGCTACCAGGCCTGTGGGTTTGAGCCATAGCAATGAGAGCTCAGAGGTGCACTGAGTTTTCTGGCCTCAGCGCAGCCAGTCCTGAGAAAGCCAAGGTGCAGAGACACCCCCTCTCCTGACCCCCTCTTTTTCTTTGCAGCCATTCCCCTGGGGTGATGGGAACCACAGCCTCTTCCACAACCCCCACACCAACCCCCTGCCCACAGGCTACGAAGAAGCAAGGGGTCATCACTGAGCCACCCGCCCTCGGCTCCCCCGGCCTAGTGACAATAAACCTGAGTGGATCTGTCTCCCAGGAGATTTATTTATATTCTGACCCATTCAACATCTTGGAAAGAGACACAGGGTGGGAACCCCTGGATCAGGGATCCCCTCTGTGCCCCCAGGGCTGGGACATGTGTGAGACTGCACTTTGCCACACTGATTGCTACCCCTGAGATGGGGGCGCTGGGGGCAGGGCTGGGTGAGCGCAGAGCGCTGGGAGGGAAAATGGGTTCATCCTCCAGGGGCGACACTGATCTCTCCAGCTGGGAACTAGAACGTCCCCATGGCAAGCAGGGTCTGGGCACCTGCTACGAACCAAGAGCCTGGGTGGGACCGGCCGGCCGCCTGGGAACCTGTCTGGCTGCTGTGGGCTCAGGAGGGGATAAATGGCCAAATCCCAGCTCCAGCAATCCCATTCTGTCTCCTGAAATCCCCCACGACGGTTTCAATTGCATATGGAGATCCTCTTCACTTGCTGCCCTAAAGTCTTTTGCAGTGTTGCTGTTAGACACCAGTTTGCCCTACCCTAGAGATGGCTGCAGCTCAGCACCAGGCAAGGGATCCCTGCATAAAGAGTCCCTCTGCCCCACCCTAGGGGCGGCTGTATCTAAGTGCCCGTGGAAGTATCCCGTGTAAACATCCTGCAGCTCAATTATTCACTCAACCAGCTCATGGTGGCATCAGGTGGAAAGCGGGGGGGGGGGCGGTCTGGCTGCGTTAGGGGTACCCAGCTGAGCTCAGCTGCACAGATCCTCCCTCCCATGCTATCCTAGAGCTGGTTAGGAGGTGGGGGGCCCAGCTGTGGTTCTGGCTCTGATCCCCGAGAGGGCGGGGGGGGGGGAAACAGGAAAACTCCTTGTGCTGTTACAGCTTCTGCTCCCAGCACAGAAGAGCGGGGGATTTAACCCTTCATTCTCCTAATAGGAGGAATTATCACCTTGCTTGATTTTCAGATTCACTGCACAGCTCTGAGCACAAAGATCAAATATCAGATAGAAAGGGTTAACC